GCATAGGCATGTTGTCAGCGTCTCTTTTCTAATTCTTCTGTTTCAATTTTTCAACTCTTATATTTTTATTACTTCCACTGTCACACCTTGATTGTCTTTATTATATTTTACTAGCGACCCGCCCCGGCTTCGTACGGGTGCAATATGTATATACATACAAACCTTCCTTAAGAATCACTCTATCTATTAAAAAAAACCGCATCAAAATCCGTTGCGTAGTTTTAAAGATCTAAGCATACATACGGACATACAGCGAAAGCGACTTTGTTTTATACTATGTATTGATTTATGCTGCATCGTGCCTGGTGCTCAATAAATGTTTCTTCTTTCCTTCTTTCTTCTTTCACGCTGTTATTTAGTTATACCTGGTTTAACCCAAGGACGTTGAAAAAACCTTTTCCTTTCTCGTTCTATAAACATGAATATTTTCATTTCCAGTACTGCAGTTGGCCGTTCATGGTAAACTGTAAGGCAATCAGAACAACAACAACTACTACAACGACAACGACAACTCCAGCACCAACAACGGTTACCGACAGGCCTACAACCACTGAGGGAATGACTAAAACCACACAGGTATTTGACTCGATCGTATAACAGGCATAATTGACACAGTGGTATATTTTAACTAAAAATCGCGGTTAAATCACTTGAATATATTGAGAAAAGCTCTACTAGTTTCGAGTCACAGAGGGGCTCTTCCTCATGAGCAGCGTGCACAGTCGCGGCGATGTCACGCAGCCTACTGCTATTCTCAGTATATTCACGAGAGTAACCTGTGATTTTTTGTTAATTTACTAAGGCGGTCTGATAAGTCAGTGACTTTTCGAATTTCCCGCGCAGTTATTCCAAATGCAACAGTGCTGCCGTCAACTGTAATCTATTAGTCGGCAACTGTCAAATTTTGAGCAAGGTACATCATGCAGTTAGTGTTTGATAGCCATTCAAAGCAAATGACAAATGTGAATTTCGTGTGTTGATTAAGCATTATTTTTTATGTAAAAAATCATCACTGAAACTAGGCAAAAGCTTGATAAACACTACGGGGACTCGGCACCATCGATTTTAATGGTGAAGAAGTGGTTTACAGAGTTCCATTGTTTCCAAATTTGAAAAACGCTGAACTAAATGTATCAAGCTAAAAGGTGATTATGTCAAAAAATAATATAAAATATTTATTTGCCGCAAAAAAAATTAAATTTGTTTATTTGTATAGACAAGTTAAATTACATGTAGGCATGGAAGCGAACACCATTCACATAAATGCAAACACGGCAGAGGTTCCCGTGGGCCCCAAACTATAGTCAGAATTTTAATTAGATTCCAGATTTGACAATAGCTTCTGTCATTTTGTGAAATAATGATACCACATATAATAGTGTAGTGATGAACACGAAAATCGATAAACAATCAGTGTGTGTGTTTTATAATAAATGTTACAGAAAGTGACAGGATAGCGATAACTAACTAAGCGATAAATAACTTATTACCATAATACTGTAGCGATCAAATCGCATACACAAAAACAAATCATCGTTTACCCCAATCCGAGAACGTAGTCGCGGATGCTTTATCACGCGTTGAAGAAATACATCCACCATTGAATTATCAGACATTAGCCAACGAACAAAACACCGACAACGAACTACAGGAGTTACTAACATCTGGTTCCACTCTAAAATTAGTGAAGATGAGAACCCCAGATTCAGACCTCCACGTTTACTGCGATGTCTCCACTTCAAGTCCACGTCCGTATATCACCCCAGCATTCCGTAAACAAGTGTTCGACTCTCTGCACAACCTGAGCCATGCAGGCACAAAGGCCACTGTCAAATTGGTAACGCAGAGGTTCGTGTGGCCAGGTATTAAGAGGGACTGCAGAAAATGGGTGAAAACATGTCAACAATGCCAACGGTCGAAGGTTACAAGACACACTACAGCACCATTAGCTTCATTCCAGCCACCGTCTGCACGCTTCCGGCACATTCATCTAGATTTAATCGGCCCGCTACCCTTATGTTCCGGGTATAGGTACTGCCTTACGATTGTCGACCGTTTCACTCGTTGGCCTGAGGCGTACCCTCTGCAAGATATATCAGCAGATACCTGCGCGACCGCCCTCATTCAAGGCTGGATATCAAGGTTTGGCTGTCCAGAAGATATCACCACCGACAGAGGCAGTCAGTTCCTATCACATACATTTAAGGAACTTGCCACGCTCATCAGTGCGAATCACCACACTACCACCTCGTATCACCCAGCAGCAAATGGCCTTGTAGAAAGGATGCATCGACAGCTGAAGTCAGCAATCACCTGTCACGCATCACCTAACTGGGTTGAGATTTTACCCTGGGTCCTTCTGGGTATACGTAGCTCATGGAAGGAAGATCTTCAAACATCGGCAGCAGAACTTGTCTACGGCGAACCACTCCGCTTACCTGGACAATTCTTTTCATCAGACCCTGGAGATGTAACGGACATGACAACAATTACCGGAAGACTTCGCGCTCACGTCAGTAGACTGAAACCTATGCCAACCTCTTGGCATGGAATTGCAAGTAGACCATTCTACGTACCAAAAGACCTTGCAAAAGCCTCCCATGTCTTTGTTCGTCACGGTCCTGTTAAAAGACCTCTACAAGCACCTTATGCAGGTCCATACAAAGTACTGCACCGTAGCCAGAAGACCTTTGACATAGACATCCAGGGTAAAACACAAAGGATATCAATAGATCGTTTGAAGCCAGCCTACGTTATCAAAGAGACCCCACAACCAACTTCTTATCTAGGTCCAACAGGAGACCAAAACGTCGTCCAAAAAACCAGGAGCGGCCGGGTGGTCAGATTTCCAGACTACTTTCGCCCGTAGTTACGGTCTCAGCGGGGGAGTAGTGTAGCGATCAAATCGCATACACAAAAACGAATCATCGTTTACCCCAATCCGAGAAGTGGTCGTGATGATATACGCAACTGGACTATGAATACGGGCCATCGTATGATGTTTGCACTTGGCCCGTTCATTAGGTGCGTTACGCCCCCGGCACGTGTAAGCAGGCCCCGCCTCCAGAGGCAGTACAGCGCAGCATGCATCGCACGCGCATCCTCCGATCCTCCGTCCTGCCCTATGACAGCGGTGCAGTGGGCGTTCCTACTAGACGCGTCTTCAAGCGGGGATTGTCCCTATATAACTAATAGAAATTATAATTGTTTTACCATATCGCACTCCAGCTTGTACTAGTCTATAGTAATAAATATTATCCCATCACAAACCGAGTCTCGTATTACCTTACCAAGTTGATACCTAAAATACATCTATCTGTTTTATTTGTCATGTTCTTTCATGATTACATTTTTTTATTTATTTCACAACGGACGGATTAACGGACTTATCAAACTTATCAAACCTCGTAATTGTCTCACGATAGTTATTACAAAAGTCTCATATATTCCGTTTTTTCCAGAACCTTGACACCCTTGCACCAGGTGATTGTACTTTTTGTCCCGCCACCGATTCTTCCAAGCCACCCCCTGATATCACCATGAAACCTGGAAGTTGTCCCACAGGAGTGTGGACCAATATCCGTCATCCAACTTTGTGCAACTCATTCTACTATTGTAACGGAAATAAATCTGTGCAGTTCTTCTGTGTTGATGGGTACGAATACGATCCGTCAAGGGTGAGTTTTTTTTTATATAGCACTAGCTTTTACCCGCGGCTTCGCTCGCGTCACAAAAGGATAAAAAGTAGCCTATGTGAAATATACCACCAAAACCATATGACATACACACAGCGCCATCTATACCAATAATTTTGTTTTCCTCGGGAATATCAAATTTTTCCGGGATAAAAAGTATTATTTATTATTTAATCCGGACTTCTAACTTTACGTCTGCAAAAATTCAAAGGAATCGGTTTAGTAGTTACGGCGTGAAAGCGGAACAAACAAACAAACACACTTTCCGATTTATAATATTAGTAAGGATAAGCCGGTAAACGAGCAGACGGATTACCTGATGGTAAGCAATCGGCACCACCCATGGACACCCGAAACACCAAGGCGTTACAAGTGCGTTACTGGCCTGGGAATTGGGATTGGGAATTGAGAATTGGGAATTTGAGGATTGTGGAGGACTCAGGGATTCGGGAGACGGTAAATGAGTTAGTAAATTCATATTTCTTTCCTTCTTTTTCAATACAAAATTTGAATTGTTGTACAAATCTTTTCTAACACTGTAATATGACATTATTTTGATTGAATCGTTCCATTTTTTTTATTGCATGGTTCGCTGTGGCTGGGTAACTGGCTGGCGTACAACATGTAGCAGATTCGATTCCTGCACGAAGCAACTCTTCGTGTGATCCACAAATTGTCGGGTTTGAGTGTTCTGTGGATGTAAACTTCCATGTTTTTAAACGCGTCCACGACACAGGAGAAAATTCTAGTGTGGGGCAACGTTTCTTAAAATAAAAACAAATTTAAGTTATTTTTGTTAACGAAATGTTGTTTACAGCTAACTAACAAACAAGTTTTGTTTCTCTCAGGGCTGTGTAGAGATCGCTGAAGGAGGCTGCACGCTCCAATCTACTATTACCACAGAAGCTGTTACGGTAAAGCTATACCTGTCAATATGTGCAGTAGACCCAAATGGTAACATACCCCACCCAGAAATGTGCAACTCATTCTACAATTGCACAGGAGGCCAGGCCACTCAGCTCAACTGTACAGACGGTTTTGAATTCGACCCTAATGTGAACGTAAGTACATACTAAACTATAAAAGTAGTACTGCACACAGCGCACCAACAGCCTATAACACGATTGAGCCCAGCCTCTTCTTGCACGGAGAAAGTTTGAGCATTAATCACCACGCTTGCTCAGTGCGGGTTGGCGATTTCAAACTTATAGTTAGTTATTATAAGGAAAACATTGTGTCCTTCACCGTTTGCCAGTGGTGTATAAATAATCTTAGAAAGCAGTGCAGTTAACAGTACTGCAGGCAGCAGTAAATATGCGACGCTTTCTACTTGTGTTCCACCGGAAAAGCTTAACCATTTACTTGTAGCAAGGAGCTCGAATTAGACCATGAAGTTTAGCCATCAGACCACCACAGATGGGACTCAATGGGGCTGATGCCGATACGGATCCGAGAAGAATTTAACGGGTTACCGGGGCTCCAGCTCGAAGTGCAGGAGTAGGAACGGGGAGGTTTTTAGTCAGTAACAGTCTCACACTCCCTCCCGCCTTACCCAGGCGAGAGAAGTCATTTGATGATTTTTCAGCTTTAAAAAAATAAAAGACCATATAGTTTTAATTTCCCTCTTTTGTTATAGATTCTATTTGATTCGGGGTTTTCCCTTGAAACTGATCTTGGGTTCCAAACTTGAATTTTGGATTTAGAAAAAGGACAATAATAAATAATATTCAAAATGGGCACCTGTGTCTATTAATTATTATGTTTTTCGACTTACTGATGTACACTGTATCTATTCTTTACCAAGAAACTCAATTGAAATGATATCATCAGCTGCACGTAATTTTAAATTTTTAAACTAATGATAATGTGTTATTTTAGTCGTGCGTGCCAATCGCCGAAGGAGGATGTACCATGAGTAAAGCGACAACACCTAGAGGAGAAACTACTGCACAGCATGTACCAACTACTGCTGCGCCTGAGACTACTGAACAAGAAGTAGTAACTACTGCTGCGCCTGAGACTACTGAACAAGAAGTAGTAACTACTGCTGCGCCTGAGACTACTGAACAAGAAGTAGTAACTACTGCCGCGCCTGAGACTACTACACAGAATGTAACAACTACTGCCGCGCCTATGACTACTGAACAAGAAGTAACAACTACTGTCGCGCCTATGACTACTGAACAAGAAGTAACAACTACTGTCGCGCCTACGATGACGACTTTAGCTCCTACAACAGCGTCAGATGACATTCCCGATGTCGGCACTACGACCAAAGCCCTTGATGATACAACCACGGCAGCGGTTGACACTACTAACGAGGCTCCCATCTGTGCTCCAGACGTATGTGGAGTCGTACCTCACCCGGACAGATGCGACACTTTCTACTTGTGCTCCGCTGGCAACGCTTTGCCATTTACTTGCAGCAAGGAGCTCGAATTTGACCCTGAGACCAAGGTATGTATTTGACAATATTCTTAATGTTTATAATAATATTATAACTTTCGTGAAACATATTCAATTGTAATGTTTTCGGCTTACTGGCGTCACTGTTTGACGAAGAACTCGAATTCAACACATACGCAGCCGGCGCGAACGAGTCTAACGTTTCAACAGTGTCGCGCGCGCCGCCATACATGGAGCTGCGTGCGCGGGAGTCCCGGCGAAGGGCGAGCTGGGCCCGCGCCGCGGACTCGAGCGGCCAGTGGCAACGCGGCAGTCGCTGCGTCGCGGGTTGAGGAACGCAGCTCATGAATATGAGCCTCTATAGCATGGCTTGAAATTAGTCGAGGTTCTCGTCAAATAGTTACGTGTGTAAGACGAAAACATAATAAATATTTTTTATGTATCCCTTTTGTCCTTAATTCGACATCGTGGCTGTTTCTACCCTTGAGGCTCAGCTCTTGAGTTACAGACTTGAATTTCTTTTGTAAAATACTCTTTTTATACTACAATATGCACCTTTGTGTATCGCTTATATATCTCTATATATCTCTATCTATCTATAGCTCTATGGGTCAGGCCCGGTATATATCCCGGGCACAATTCTAGACTTCGTGCTACTATTGAGAATTGTTTAAAAACCCAGTAATACTTTGCCCGACCTGGGAATCGAATCCGAGACCCCTTACCCGGCAGTCGCACTTACGACCACTCGGCCAACAAGGCAGAAATTTTCTTTAAATAAAACACTTCATCATTACGTACGTACGTTGTTTAAATTTTTGAAACTAAAGAAAATGTTTTGTTGTAGTCGTGCGTGCCAATCGCCGAAGGAGGATGTACACTGAGTAAAGCGACAACGCCTGCGGGCGAATATACGGTACAGGAAGTAACGACTACTGCCGCGCCCACGACCACGACTTTAGCTCCTACAACAGCGTCAGATGACATTCCCGATGACGACACTACGACCAGAGCCCTTGATGATACGACCACGGCAGCGGTTGACACTACTAACGAGGACATCTGTGCTCCAGGCGAGTATGGCAACATACCTCACCCAGATAGATGCGACGCGTACTACTTCTGCTTCGCCGGCAACGCCTTTCTGTTTACTTGCACCGAGGAGCTCGAATTTGACCCTAAAACCAAGGTACCTAAGTGTTTGACAATATTCTTAATGTACCAATATTTTAAATGTATTTGTTATTTTGTCCTTTACCCTTGATGCTCAGCTGCAGAGTTTCAAGAATTTATTTTGTAAAAGATTCTTTGTATGATATTTCGAAATAATTAATTCATGCCATCTTTGATTTTAATTATTAACTTCAAAATTAATTCAAAATGGGCAACTTTGGCTATCCCGAATGAAAAAGATTAATTCAAATAAAAATTTCATAAATATTTTTTATGTCTTGAAACCAAAAGAAAATGTGTTATTTCAGTCGTGCGTGCCAATCGCCAAAGGAGGATGTACATGTACACTGAGTAAAGAAACAGCACCTGGATGCGACTGTACGGTAAATGATAAAACAACCACTGTCGCGCCTAAAACTACTGAACAAAAAGTAACAACTACTGCCGCGCCTAAGACTACTGTAAAGGATATAACAACCACTGTCGCGCCTAAGACGACGACTTTAGCTCCTACAACAGCGTCAGATGACATTCCCGATGACGGCACTACGACCAAAGCATTTGTCGGCACGACCACGGTATCGGTTGATACTACCACGGAGGATCCGATCTGTCCTCCAAGCGTATTTGGCTACGTACCTCACCCGGACAGATGCGACGCGTACTACTTGTGCTCCGGCGGCAAAGCCCATCTGTTTAATTGCAGTGGAGAGCTTGAATTTGACCCAGGAACCGAGGTATGTATTTGACTATATTATATTCTTAATGTCACGTTTTGTCACTAATTCTTTACGAAACTCAAATTCATTTTTTTTAATGTCACACAATGTCAATATTAACATTAATGTCACATATAATATTGTCATATCAACTCTGAATGATATTATCATAGACAATCACTATATATCATAAATGTCACACCTAATATTGTCTTAAACGGTGCAACAATATTGTCAAAAATGTCTCAAAAGAGCGTATTCTAACAGTAAGTCCACCTATTCTATTTACGTACGGCGCGTCGCGTTCCGCGCGCGCCTCAAAGAGCCCCACGGATGGGGCCTAACAGGGCTGATGCCGATTCGAAGTCGCGGAGAACTTAACGGGTTACCGGGGCTCGACGTGCAGGAGAAGGAACGGTGTGGTTTTTAGTCAGTAAGAGTCTGACACTCCCTCCCGCCTCATCCAGGCGGGAGCAGTCATTCTATGATATTCCCCCTTAAAAAAATACATATAATAAAATTGTAGAAAAGTCAAAACCGTACATTTAATATTTTTTTAAAAGAATACTTGGTGCGTGATCTACAGTCGATACAGAAGCCAAATACCTGTATAGTTTTTGGAATTTTTGTCTGTTTGTCTGTATGTGTGTCCGGGATGACCTCCAAAAGTACTGTATGGATTTACTTCAAATTTTGTATGAATATTTATTACTAACAGGTCAGGTAAACATATAGGCTACAAATTATCACGCTATCATCTACGGGGGAGGAGCTGTGAATTGTTATTTCTCTTACACATTCTGTGACAGCGTGTAATGTAATGAAGCATATTTAAATGTTATTTTTGAGTAAGCCATGCTATTATCTAGCTTCACTCTAAAAGACTACGAATTAAATAGAAAAAATACGAATTCAAGTTAATTGAATAATATAATATGTACTTTATTTATGGATTAGTTTCTTCCCGCGGCTTCGCACGCACTCTTTGAAGGTGTTAGGGGGCAGATTTATATAAAAAATATTTTATTGGTCACAAATAGTCTGCATACCGATTTTAGCCTTCTACCTTGAAAATTGCGAAATGCTACATATAAACTTCCACCCCCCATTTAAGGGAACTGGAGGGTTAGAAAGAGATAAAATCTAACCAATGCTACTAACCATCCTTTCAACTATGTCCACTTAAAAAAATCACGTCAATTTCTAGCTCCATTCTGCCGTGAAAGACGGAAAAACAAACAAACACACACACACACAAATTTATATTATTAGCAAAGATTTCTATGTCATCTGTCATTTTCTTGACAAGTAAGGTAGAATATGGTTAATGGACACTATTTTGTATAAGACCTTTTCTTTTGTAGCCATGTTCGCAAATGAATAAATGATTATAGAATTCTTAACTAAACTATACTTAAATGTGCAATGTAAACAATCTTCCTTAAGAATCACTCTATCTATTAAAAAAAACCGCATCAAAATCCGTTGCGTAGTTTTAAAGATCTAAGCATACATAGGGACAGACAGACGGCGGAGAGCGACTTTGTTTTATACTATGTAGTGAAGATTTTCATTTCTGGTAGATCAAGTATAAAGGGTAATACGATTCCTATCCATCATAGGCCAACGTTGGAGCGAAAACATAATCTTAATTTGATAAAAAATTGAAAATCACTTTATGCTCGAAATACAATCAGTCGAGCTCCATTCCGAACTTTCTTCTGGATATTTAATAAACTTCTTTTGAGTTTTATTCACTTAAATTCCAATCTAGTATCTTATGAGACTCACACGATGTACTTCATCAACGACGGCGTGTACGGCTCCTTCAACTGCGTGCTCTACGACCACCAACACGTATACTCGGAATTTTAATTCGATTCCAGATTTGACAATTTCAGTGTTGCAACGTTATGACAAGTACTAAATAGTGACGTTGCGAAATTATTCGATATGGAAATGCAATATTTCTGTATCGATTCTTCTCGTTTATAATTTACTTTCGTAAACTAAGTATATCAGGAAATTAAATATTTCTGAACCGATAATTTAGTTTTGACGATTAATTAACGATCTGAGACTTTTCTTTTATAATTGTGGGAGAAATAAATAAAAAAATGTAATCATGAAGGAAAATGACAAATAAAATAGATAGATGTATTATGGTAATAGGTTATTTTATAAAGTGTCGCCGTCATCGCTATCGCTATCCTGTCACTTTCTGTAACATTTATTATAAAACACACACACTGATTGTTTATCGATTTTTGTGTTCATCACTACACTATTATATGTGGTATCATTATTTCACAAAATGACAATAGCTATTGTCAAATCTGGAATCTAATTAAAATTCTGACTATAGTGGCTAAACCACTCAATGTAAGCGTACAACAAAAATAATTCGCAAAACAAACTCGATTACAGACAGCTGATGACATTCAACGTATTTTCATTGAGTGTTGCCATAGTTTTGATGTGGTTAGTTCCTCAAACATTCGTCGTCATTATTAAATAGATAAACTGTAACTGAAGGTATTCTCTCGATGAAACTATTTTAATCATGGATGTTAGAGCATAAATGAACATGCAGGTTTTAATCACTTTAAATAATATTTATTACGCTAATTGTACACAAACTTTATACGCGGCTAGCGACACCGGTGACATAACTTCCCGACAGACACACATAGACATCCATCTAAACACTCATACAATACATCTGTATGCGCAGACACAGGCTCACCGATCTTCGTACACCTCAATAATGGATGTCAATCTATTTGCATAACTCATTGTTAATATAATGTTAATGTATGCAGACTGATTGTGACCAATAAAATGTTTTTTGAATAAACCTGCCTCCAATCCCTTTTTTTTTTATTTAAGCGGGGAAAATCATCGAATGACTGCTCCCGCCTGAGTGAGGCGGGAGGGAATGTCAGACTCTTACTGACTAAAACCACCCCGTTCCTTCTCCTGCACGTCGAGTCCCGGTTACCCGTTAGGTTCTCCGCGACTCCGAATCGGCATCGGCCCTATTGGGCCCCATCTGTGGTGGTCTGATGGCTCTTTGAGGCGCGCGCGGAACGCGACGCGCCATACGCTTGGGTCTGTTTCTGGTCGGACGGGGAGCCACCCATGCTCGCCGTCACCAGGCCCGCGCTTACGGTGGCCGGAGATCGTCCCGCGATCCCCGACGCCCGGAGTGTCCTTCGCGATGGCTGGGTTGCGAGGAGGCAGCGCTTCGCTGCCTCACGCGTCCCGCCTCCTCCTTAGCTAGCATGACTGCTTCACAAAAGGAGGAGACGGCATCCCAGTCCCCCTCGCTCCGCATCATGGCCTGCACTAGGCCCGGACGCTAGAGGTCGCCATCGCCGATCACTTCTCTGAGGGCACGGCGGTGCTCAGCCCACGCAGGGCATTCCGCTACTGTGTGTTCCACCGTGTCCTCAGGGCGGTCCTCGCAGTTATGACACCCGGGCGTTTCCTCCCGTCCCATATGACACAGGTACCTCCCGAAACTTCCATGTCCGGTGAGGACCTGCGTCAGGCGGTAGGTGAGGACGCCGTAGCGTCTCTCAAGCCACTCCTCAAAGAGGGGACTTACCGCTGCGATGGCAGCGAGCCCAGCCCTCGGTTGCGACAGTCGTTGCTGCCATTCCGCCATGAGATCGCGCCGGAGCTCATCCCGCCACGCACTTATCTGGCGCGGCAGCGGAGTTTCGCCCCGGCGACGTGCCTCCGCGCGCATGCTGTACACGCGCGCGAGCACCTTCGCCTCCAGATCCCACGGCGGTAATCCGGCAAGGAGGTTCGCCGACTCCCCGGAGATCGTGCGGTATCCGCGGATCATTCGGATCGCCATGACCCTCTGTGCCATGAGCAGCGTCCGAGCGGGACGCCGCAACAGGTTCGGCGCCCACACAGGGGCGCCGTAGAGGGCCATGGACCGCACGACCCCGGCGTATAACCTCCAGCAGGAGGCGTTTGGCCCCCCGAGGTTGGGGAGGATGCGCTTAAACGGAGCCCCCGCCCTTTCCAACTTTGGAGCCAAACGTCGGAAATGCTCAATGAAGTTCCACCGACTGTCGAGGACGAGTCCCAGGTACTTCATCGTCGTCTCGACGCTGATGGTAACCCCTCTCGCCGTTATTTGGGACCCACCAGGAGGTGGTGCGTTCCCGCGGCCATGAAAACACATGGCCTCGGACTTGTGGAGCGCCACCTCTAGTCCCGACTGCCGATTCTTTCAACGACTGTCGCAACCGCTGTCGCCATTAAATCGGCCGCCACCTGGTGCGACCTCCCGTGCGCTAGCACCAGCGTGTCGTCGGCGTAGCATATTGTGCTAACGCTGATGTTCCACAGGAGCGGCCCCAGAACCGAACCCTGTGGAACACCGCGTGACATCTCTCGCCGGTTCCACTCGCCCCGGTGACCGGGGTAGATGACGGACCTGTCCGTCAGGTATACCGACTTCGCCGCCGACACCGCTAGCGGACAGACGCGAAGCAGTGCGTTACTATTACTTAAGTGCACTTAATTAAATCATTTTTAAAAAATCGTGATTGGCCCATGGCAAATTGTCGGTAGTTCCTTGTCTCGCACGGGGAGTTCTCCATTAGGCGCCGCGGCCATATTGTGCGCTGGAGTGAGAAGGGACGCTCACGCGTGGGCTAGTGACATTTGGTTTTTCGGTTCCTCCTGCTCTGGCATAGGTTGCGCGCCGTAAGACGCAGCGGCCATCTTGCCGGCAAGAGGGAGACGATAGACGGCTGTCAATTCTGACAGCTGTCGACAGTGACAGTGACTTGGACAGCTGTCATAGCTGTAATAGCTGACAGCTGTCAACAGTGACAGTGACACTTGTGTGTTTCTTTTTTTTTTACGATCAGTGACAGTGACACTAGTGCTTTGTTCTTATTATTACTTAGTAACATTTTTTTTTTATCTGTTAAAGTGAATATTAATACATGAACAGCATTTCGGGCGACGAATCGTCAATCAGCGAGGTT